ATGATATGTCAGTTTATTGAGTACAGTCCAAAGAGTAAGAGATGAGGGGTTTCACTTACAGGACACAATGGATTTTGAGCTGTCTGACCCAAAAGATAACAGTGAGGTGCTTCCTCAGCAAATTTCTGAATCTGAAAGTCAATTCCGTGGCCAAGAAATTGAGCTCCATCCCAGGAGAGATGCTCTTAGACCAACGATGTTGGTATTAGAATGTGTGCATAGAGACCGAGGCCAAGCCCAGTGTTCAAACAAGGAAACTGAACCCTTGTCTCAAAGTAAACAAGGGAAAGTCAACAAATACATTGGAAAGCAGGCATTCTTGGAGGAGAAAATATGTGAACTAAAAAGTGAAAACATGTTGCTTCAACAGCAACTGGATGTTGCTCAAAATGAGGCCAGAAGTGAAAAGACAATACTTAACATCCCAGAGCCATTTCTGGATCACATGGGAAAACTTGAAGCCATGAGCAGACGAGTTCTGATGCTGGAGGAAGGAAACAAGGAGCTAATCAATGAATGCAGATTTGTAAAGGACAGACTGTATCAGTATGAAACTGACAGAACAGAAATGGAAGTAAGTACCCAGAAACAGAACTAATTTTCAGACTTCCTCAAAGAAAATTGAAAGTAGTATCTAATGAAAGCTAAATGTTGAAACTAGTTGGATATAAAAAATGTGTGGGCTGTAAATATATACACTGTAAAGCAACCTAAAAGCATATTTTGTATCCAGCAAACAAAAATTAGACCTGAGAGGTGCTTTACTTTGAGTAAAGATGCGTGTCACCTGAAATTTTAAGAGATTAAGCTATAAGTTGTTGATAGATACAGGCAGGTCTTATACTGCCCAAATCATTTTAATCTTTCTGTCACCACATTTTAGTATCATGATGAAGCAGATAAATGAAATGCTCAGACATAAGATGAGTATTTTGAAATTAAGTTTCAGTTGTGTGAACAAAAAAAGTAAAAGAAAAAAAGAGAGAGAGAGAGAAAAGATTCAATTGTGTGGATTACCTTGACAGTCAAATCCAGATTTCCCAGGTGAACTGATGTGTAAATGCTGTATCTTGCAGTACTTTTCGTTCAGTAGCTTCTCATATATTGTTGATATAATTTTATTTTTATTCATGTCAATTGGAATTAAATGTAGAAATATTTCCATCTCAAATCATGTATTGTTATGACCTCTCCACTCCTTAAAGGCATCTACTTTTCATTCAGTCATAATTTGGGACAAATGTAAATTTTAGCAAAACTGTGTCTCACTTAGTCTACCCTGTTCTATTTATAATTTACTTTGAATATTTTTTCAAATATTGTGCTCACAATTCTCATTTCAAGTCTCAGTTACTATCACTTGGATCTGTCTGTCCAGTACAGAGGAACTGGAGCGCTCTGTGATGTACGAATTTGGCACTAGGGGTCTCATTTTCAGACTGAGGAGGAGCAGAGTCCTGAGTGGCAGGGAGTGAGTGGGAGGGGTGGGGGGAGCTGTAGGAGCTGCAGTCCAGGAGGCAGGGGATGCCAGGTTGTCTCGGGTCCCCAAAGGCCATTGGAATATCCTCATTTTTACTGTGAGATAGGAGTCTATTGGAAGGATTTAAACACCAGATTGAATATGTGAAGGACTCTGAACTTAAGCCTCTAATGAAAAAGAGGGAGAATGTTCCACAGTGTGGAACTTATCACCACTCATCCCACCCAGACACCCCTTTCTGTTTGAGACTTCAGTGGGGGTAAATCTTGGCCATTTCCGGAGGGGCAGGGAATGGCTGGTGGGGCTGCATCCATTGTCTAAGTTAACTTACTGTCAATAAGGCAGGAGGGTCACCCCTTCTGTGTCTTTAATGAAATTCAGTAAACAAGAATGTGTACCTATGAGGAAGAGAAGGTGAATTGATGTCTGTGGGGATAATTCTCAAAGTTCATATGTTGGAGTTATATGTTATTAATGTAACCTAATGATAAGGTGACTTAAACATCAGTAACAGAGTTATCTTTTTAGGCCTGTATGAGACAGCTTCAACAAGAACTGACTCACACCCGAAAGAAAGCGTCCATGTTGGAAGCTTCCCTGGAGGTGACAGCACATCATCAGACTAATGTAGAAGCTGAGACACAGGATTCAGAGAGGAAATCACATCAAACTGCGAACCCAGTATGTATGAAATTCAGCACGTCAGCTATGAATGTGCAGCGCAGAGTGTTGCAGGACACTAGCTTTTCAGGGACAGTTTTCTTTTGTATCTTCATTATAATTACACTTTTATTATCTTTATGATGCACTTGTTTCTTAAACTTTGACTTTCATTCTGCCATTTCTTTATATATTTTTTCTTATAATATTTACCCTTAGAGAAGTTCAGAATTATACATCTTTCCTCACAGAAGTTAACTTTTTTCCCTATTAAACAGTATTTTTTAGTTATCTCTCACCACAATGAGGCATGCTAGATAAAATCAGAGGATAATGTTTCATGGAATGGTCCAGAAAATTGTCATGTCTCATCATTATTTTTGTGAATGGATATAGAATCTGTGTATTGATTTCATGGATTTCAGAGTAACTTGTGCAGAAAGATCATTATACAAACCAGTTGAAGTTAGGCATTGCCTTCATTTTCTCATTTTACGTATGTTGTCAAAGCATGGAGAAGTTCAGGTCACATCTGTACACCCAAAATAGAGAATTAAGAAAATTGTCTAGATCCTGCCTTTGGATTTTTTCTTAACTTTATTGAGATATAATTCACGTATTATAGGGGGGATTGCATAACTCAAGTGGTAGAGTGCATGCTTAGCGTACACAAGGTCCTGGGTTTGATCCCCTGTACCTCCTCTAAAAATAAATAAGTAAAACCTAATTACTTTTCTCCACCAAAAGAAAAAAATTCACATATCATGTAATTCACCTATTTAGGATGCATAGTTAATACCTCCTAGTATATTCAGAGATGTGCAACCATCATCACAATCAATTTTAGAACATTCCCATCACCCCAAAAAGAAAGCCTACATCCCTTGGCCATCACCCCCAGCCCCCCGTCCTCCTCAGCTCCCCACAGCCACCAGTCTGACTTCTGTCTCTATAGATGTGCCTGTTCTGTGTGTTTCACAGGAATGGAATCACATGCTATGTGGTCCTTCATGATTAGCTTTTTTCATTTGATGAAACGTCCTCAAGGTTCATCCATGTTATAGCACTTGTCAGTGTTTCCATTTCTGTTTATTGTCGAACATTACTCGGTTGTGGGGCTAAACTGTTTATCCATCCATCAGTTGATGGATCTTTGGGTTGCCTCTGCTACTTGGCTATTGTTAATAATGCTGCTGTGAACATTTCTGTCCAAGTTTTGGTGTAAACATGTTTTCATTTCTTTGGGGAATATACTTAAGAATGGAAATGCTGTCATATGGGTCATATGGTAACTCTGTTTAACGTTTTGAGGAACTGCCATACTGTTTTCCAGAGTGGCTGCACCATTTAACATTTTTATCCAAAATGTGTAATTCTCCCAATTTCTATGCATTCCTGTCAGCACTGGTCATTAGCTCTCCTGGTAGGTATGAATTGGCATCTCATTGTGGTTTTGATTTGCATTTTTCTGATAACTAAGAATGTTGGGGATCTTTTCATGTGCTTATCCATTTGTGTATCTTCTTTGAAGACCTGGCTGTTCAGGTTTTTGCCCATTTTAAAATTGGATTGTCTTATTATGATTGAATTGTCAGAGTTCTTTTTGTATCCTTTGATCAGATGTAGGATTTTCAAGTATTTTCTCCTGTTCAGGAGCTTGCCTTCTTACCTTCTTGATGGTGTCTTTTGAAGAATAGAAGTTTTTAATTTTGATGAAGATCAGTTAGTCTATTTCTGTCTTTTACTGTCCTAAGAAACAAGTGCCAGATCCAGTCATGAAGACACACACCTGTGTTTTCTTCTAAGAATTTTGTAGTTTTAGGTCTTTCATTTTGAGTTAATATTATATATATATTGTATGAGTTAGAGGTTGAATTTTGTTCTTTTGCATGTGGATATCCAATTGTCCCAGTACCATGTGTTAAAAAGACTATTATTGTCTCATTCAGCTATTTGACACTCGTATTGAAAATCAATTCACTGTAAATGTGAGGGTTTCTTTTAGATTCACAGTGGTGAGACATTGATCTATGTCTGTCCTATGCCAGTACCAATTCAGATGTTATGAGAACTCTTTCCGAGTCATCTTGTATATTACCAGTTGTTTTACATAGTAATAAAAATTCAGTGTCGTGGAATGTCTGTAACTACTTCTGTGGAGATTTGCTGCATCCTGAAGGGGCCTGGGTCCAGCTTATGCCTTGCTGACTCTGTGACATGACAGAAAGTAGGCTTGCAAAGATAAAGTCCATTCCCCCCCCATTCAGACCTTTAGTTTCTCACCCAGTGCCTCCCACTTCACTCCAGTTTCCATCAAATCATGGTCATGGGATCTGCTGACTCAGTCTTCAATATACTTCATTATGTTGTACTCATAATTCATAGACTCATCCGTAGGTTTCACTATCTAGAGGCAAAAGATTAAGCCTGGAAAAGATTAATTCAACCTTTCTCTTTGGAAGCCTCTCTAATCCATCATCTTGCGGTTCACGATGAATTCCTCTTTTGGCTTGGTTCCTTTGTATAACACTGGTGCCGATCTTGTTCTTGTTGTAGATCCTGCATTCTCAGCTCCCTGTGTCTACCTCCTTTTACTTAAAAAGAGAGGTGCCTAGCTGTATTCTATAGCTTAAGGCATAATTAATGAAATAAATATTTCATCCCATCCAAGGAAAATTTTTCAAGAGTACAGCTGTTAAAAATTAGATAATATTCAATCAGTTTATCATAAACAGGTAACAGATTAGTAATTTGAATTTCAGAAGTTCAAAGCCAATCTGTGTGATATGGAGAAGCATTGTGCTACAACATAAAGATGAGACAGTCTTACCTTCCCTTACCAACTAGCTTTTTAAGTAAGGTAAAGGAAAAATTGCATTTTTAAATGCTGTCAAAGGACACTATATTTATGGTTCCATAATATTTTATTTTCTCTCTGAGGAAAGGAAAATGAAGAGTGAGTGCTAGATTAATAAGTTCTCAAAGCTGCCTGTCTCTTAGAATTTCAGTTAATTGAAATGAGATAAAAAGGCTGATTTTGGTTAACTGACTATTTCTAGTTGTTTTTCAAGTATTAGACTTCAAATCCTGTGTCTCCTTGCTTACCAGTCTTCCTTATCCTCAAAGTTGAGGGGAAACTGAAATACATGCCTATTTGTAAGAAACTGTAATTGAAGGGAACTCTAAAGTAACTTCCTTCTCACTAGTTCTGAGGTCTTTCTTTCAGCTATCTGCTGCTTCTCATCAGCACTTTGTCATTAATAAGTTAATCTCAAAGTTTGTTACATTCCAGTTTATAGGAGACCAATTTCTACTATATTCAAGTTACACTTCTTACTATCTTTTTTCATCCACTTTTCTGTTTATCTGTTTTTGCCTAACAAACTCTCCAAAGTTCAGTGGCTTAAATAAGCATTTATTTTGTTCACAACCTGCACTTAGGAAAAGTGTGGCCAAGACACCCAGCCTCTATTCCTCTCAGCTTCAGGTGGGTCAGCTCGAAGGTGGGGGGCTGGAATCACTTGAAGTTTCATCCATTGTTGTCTGATGGTTGATGTCGGCGGTGGGCTGTGGCTTAGATGGAGCAGGCAGGTGGACCACCTCCCCTGGAACACAGAAGCTGTCTCTGTGGCCTGAGCTTGCCCTCATGATACTGGGCTCCAGGGTTAAGAGCGAGGCAGAAGCTGAACTGCCTTTTCAAACCAAGCCCTGCAGTTCACTTGGTGCCACTTTCACCATTTTCTGTTCATTAGGAGCAGGGCACTTAAGGTTAGCCCAAATTCTGCCTTTTTCATGGAATTAATTTAGAAAATTTATGGAGACATTCAATAACCAGCATAATCTACTCACTAGCCACAATGTTTTCCTACTGCTTCCATACGAGAAATCCACTTGTCCCCACTCAGGCGTGAGCAGGTCTCGGTCGCTGTGGTGTTAGGCTCAGGCTTCAGCCCAGGGTCTTACTTTCCCATCTACACCAGGTCCAGGTGGGGCTGAGGTTCCTGGGCATGCTTTCTGGAATACAGCTCCTTCGGTACACTCCTCTCAGTGCTGGGGCTTGCGAATAAGGAGACACGAGTTATTTACCACCACACACCCAAAATTCTGCTGAACTGCTAAGGACTCCCTCACTCACAGATGGAAGATGGGAGGCACACTGGCCCGTAGCAGTTCTGAAATGCAGCCTGATGCTGCCGGCTCTTTGATTAGGACTTAGTCCTAACCCTGGGAGGGGTTCTCCTTCGCTGCCTTCTCTGAGCTCTTTGTTCTGTCCCTTTCATGAGCAGTGACCTGTATTTCAGCTGAGTAGTTCTCTCAAGCCAGCTTCCTCCTCGTAGACCTTCTAAGAAAAACCCAAAGGCCTCTTCTCGTTTTGCTCTGCCTTTGCCTCTTTCAGTCCAAGCTGGTGAGCAGTGTTTTTGCAACCACAGTTCTCTTTAAAACTTTGAGTTTCCTGTGAATTTTATTGGGGTTCCTGCCATTGGAAAAGCTACTCTCACGTCTTTTTGAGATAAACTCTTCATCTTGGTCTTCCTGTGAAGCTGTTGTGGGACCATGCCTTTAAAATACTTATGCTTTTAAGATCTTTAAAGGAATTTGAGGCAGCACCTTAAATCTTTCCAAGGTCTTAACAAAGTCTTGGCTTCATCTTTAGACTGTTTTCCTGGCAGCAGCCTAGATTTGATCTTAGCCTGGAAGCCATTTCTCTGCTTACCCATTATGTGACAGTTGGGCATGTGGAGATGCTTTAAATGGGATACAGATAATAGAACCCAGTGAGTCCTGGTTCCTTTCTATTTAATAATCTTTTTGTTTGTTTGTTTTAGCTTATCTCTCTCATGAGTTTTACTTTCAGATGTTCGGTAGCAAGAGTCCTGTTTCCTCTGGTTTCAGTGTCTTTTTCTTCCCTGGCCTAGAAGCCTTCACTCTCAGCCCTTCAGGGACCCTCAGGCTTCCACTCACAGCCTTGGGGACACTTTGGATTTTCACTCTTACTCTTCTCTACATCTGTTCAGGTTTCACCTACCTCCAGGTTCAAAGGAATCCCCACATTTTGGGTTCTTTTTTAATGGCTGTGCCCCATTTTTAATATCAGTATCTGTGCCAGTTTTCATTGCTAGTAATTTATATAATAAACTGCCTCAAAACCTGGTGACTCAAGACAGCATTTGCTTGGTTCACAAATCTGTGTTTAGACAAGGCTCAGTGGACCCAGCTCATTTCTTCTCCACTTGGCATCAAGTGGGCACTATAATAATCTAAAGGCTTGTTCATACACATGTCTGGAAGTTGGAGCTGGCTTTGGTTAAGGACATTCCCTGCGGCCATCAGCTGGGACAGCTGCGTGTACAAGGACTCAGTAGGTGGCCTGGGCTTCACAGTGTGGTGGCTGGGTTCTAAGGGTGAGCGCCCCTACAGAGTGAAAGTCAGAAGCCATTTAGCCTTAGAAATCACACAGCAGTGCCCCCACATTGTGTCCCCTAGAAACCAGTTGACTGAGGCCAGTACGTACTTCAGGGGAGGGAATTTCACAGGTAAAAGAGTCAGAGAACTTGTAGGGATGATGTACAACCACCACCTCCACCTTCCTTGTCTTACCAAATAATCCTTCTGTCTGAAGGAAAGTAGTTCTTCTCAAGTCAGTGTCACTGAAATTCCAGCAAGTTTTTTTGTTTGTTTTTGTTGAATATGTTCTTTTGTTTTGTGGACAGCCACAAAGGATTACAAGAATGAAGGCTTTTTTGTTTGTTTGTTTAGAAAAATGTATGGATCACCTTACTAAACCACTACACGAGGAGATGGATTTCTCCTTAAGTGTGTGAATCACTCATTGCTCCTTGGAATGCAATTCAAACAAGCATAAAATATTTATAGTTTAGAGAAAGGCTTATGGCATTAGAACCCATATTTGTAAGATGTATTAATTGCAGTCTTTTTTTCAAAGTCTTGTTTTGGGAGGCATTTATTAATTCAGCCCTAAGTAACTCAATATGATCTCCCTAAAACTTTAAAAATTGTGGAGAGTTAAGACTTGGAGGAGGAAGTGGTAAGAGACTTTCTACTAAGAGATGCCTTATAGTCATTTTATGTAGGAAGGACATGAAACAATAACAGAAAAATAAGAGTGTAAAATCAAGTACATATGTATAACAAAGATGATGACAGTAAACGGTATATTTTTGTGACTCTTGGTGGTTTGAACTTTTTTCTTGATTTTCTGAGTAATTTGAGTTTCTCCATTCCACAAGGCAGATACCATTTTATTGTAACTGAATTTATTTAAACCTTTGATGCTGGGTTAGAGTTAGGCTGTTCTCAGTCTGCTAACCTCATTACCAAACAATTTTATCTTCTTCATGCAGAATGCTGATCTTCCAGCAAAAGTGGAATCTACATCTTCAGTACTTCTCCATCTGAGTGCAGAAACTCAACTTTTTCTAAAGGAGTTATTACCTATGAAAGAATTGCAAAAGAAATCTGACACACTAGAGGAGGAGAAAAAGAAGTTGGAAGAAGAAGTAGTAAAGCTCAGACGTCACCTAGAAATGAACACAGTGGAACGCAGTCAAGCCGAGCAGTACAAATGGAAGACTGAAGAGCGAGCAAGACGGGATGTAGTAGAAAAATTGAAGGAACTCAGTCAAGTCGTGCAGTACAACCGGGAGACTGAAGCGCGAGCAAGACAGGCTATAGCAGAAAAATTGAAAGAAATCAGCCAGTTTTTACAGGTGAAGCATTGATCTGTAACATGCCCTAACTCACTTCGCTGAGAATGACAGTTCGGATGTGTACATTTTCTGTGTTTCCTCTACTTCCCACATAGCAGTATGTTTTGTAGATTTCTGGAAGGAAGGCCACATTTGTTACTCCCTTTAAATAATTCAGTTTCCATCATTAATATCATTAAACTGATCTTTTAGAACAATTCTCACTAGAGAATCATTTTTAAGACCAATTGGTGTAAATCAAGATGACTAGGAGGAAAAGAATATATTGTGATTTAAATACTGTACCACACTCTGGGATTACTGTTAGGTTGTATTGTTCAATTTTTAAAATTTTAAATTGATCCTATTATTCTTTGAACTATCACATTACATGAGTACTAATATAAGAGTGATTAAACTTTAATTTTGTAATTCAGATTTAATTCACTTGACATTGATGATAAATATTTTAAAGTTCAGCTTTTTTTTCACACTTAAAATTGCTCTCTGAATCACTGACTCAAAACTAAAGGGAACAAATATACTGTAATTACTCAGGTTATAAGTATTTTTAAAATTGTACCCTTTTAATTTGCTGTAGGCACAAGCAGCATCTCAAGAAGACTTGTTAAGAGAGTATACACGTGCTTCAGTAAGTCAGATGGAACACAGAGTTCAAGACCTGGAAACTAAGCCGAAAAATAAAACTTTTCAGTTTGATTCTAATGAAAGAGAATTGGAAAGATACAAACAACTGTACCTGAAAGAGCTAGAAAACAGAATGTCATTGGCAAGTCAACTAAACTCGTAAGTCAAAACGTAGAATTATAGAAAATAATTTAGGTCATTAATTTGCCACTTAGGCATAATTTTTATTGAGCCAAGTTCATGAGGTGAGTAGCAAGTGAAAGTTAACTAGATAGTGTAATTTTGGGAAATGATGTTAGTAAATGAACTCTCCTTTAAAATGTCAGTCCAGGGCAGTTTGCATCTCACTGCCTTTGTTGCTTTTACATGACTTCATTTTTTATATTTGCATATATTTAACCTGATCCAGCCTTTAAGCTAGGGGTTTTACAAACTTTGTAATTTAGACAGCCATATTATCACAAAATTTCTATCTGGAATTCCCATAAATAGAAATGTTAATGAGTTTAAAATTAACTGTGTTTTGGAAGAGCACAATGTAAACCCAAGGGGCCCCATGCTGGTGTTTGGTGAATTTACTTTCTTGATTGTGGTATTTGGTGTCACCGCTCGTGGGCACCCTGAGACGAAGTACTGTACCCTTCTAAGTTTGTCTCTGCTAAGTAAAGGCATGCTTGGGCAATAGGGGGAAATCACATGGGGTGAGGGGCAGCATAGAGGTTCACAAAGTGGCTAAAAAGCAGATGGTGGCCTGCCCGCGGGGGTGCGTGGAAGATAGAAAGGGCGGGTCCCACCTCCGGTGCCTGAGTAGCAGTGTGAGAAGCTACAGGTCTCCCCGCTATCCGAAAGTAGCGCGTTCCTATCAAAGTTGTCGATGTAAAGCAAAGGGGCAGTTACCTTAGGACACACCTTGCTGGTGGATGCATGAAATAAATATGCATAAAGCGCAGGCGCTCACAGACACAGTCCAAAGCCGTGGTGGCGTGATGCTGGGACACTGAGGGTGGTTCTGGGGAAGGAGCTCGGTGGGGCCCCTCTTGCTGCTCGGGGTGCTCGTTGCCCCTCTGATGGCTTGGGCTAAAACAAGCACCCAGTGCTATTCTGGTTTTTTGCATTTTTTTTTATAAAAGTGAAAATCCGCTTGAGTTTTTTTTTGGTTATGGAAAACAGGTGCTGATGTAGGCCTCTGGTAAAAGCAAAGTAACAAAGTGGGCTTTGTTACATTGGGGGACACTTGAAATTGCCCCAGCGCTGTCGTAGTACTTTCCCACCGTCGACTCTGCCGCCTGGTGACCCCCAGAGGTGGTGGCTCTAAACTGTTCCTCAGTGCCGCATGCTTAATTTCTCCCAGGTAATGAGTGAAATGTGTATATAAGGGGGGTGAAAGCAAATGCTTGAAAATGGCTTTGAGGGATGGTTTATTTTTTATTTGTAAACTGGTTTACTGAGGGTGAGTATGTCTAGATGCAGCCAGTGCAGAAGGCAGTGGGGGTCTTCTGTGGGGGCGTCTCCATCTCTGACTCTCCCCACTTTGAAGTACTTGTTACTTAAGGGCCCCCCCAGGCATGCATGTCCTTCTTTAGGACAGTTTTAAACTGTAATTGTTTACAGTAGGTCTGCACTGATGTATTTTTGGTGTCAAAACAGTTTAATGGGAGAATCTGTTTACTATTATAGCAACTTTAGAAATACATATCACTTAGGAAGAAAATGAAATGAATCAAATGTGTGCTTTGCGATCCTCGCAGGGCTAATAAGAGGCTGGCAGCGGTGAGCACTGAGCTTCAGCTGGAGAAACAGCACCAGAGCTCCCTCCTCGGTTCTGGTCCTACAAGGCCTGTTGATGGACCGCCTTCTGCTAAAAATTCTAGTACTAGCGTGGAGCCCAAAAGGAGTCTTACTCAAAGAAGAAACTTCAGAAATTTTTCAGACCCTTCAACTAGCATGAGCGGTCACTTGTTCACGGTTAGTTATATTATCTTTTTTCCCTTGGGTTTCAGATTTCTGATATAATTCTTGTTTTTAATTTGATGAAATTCTGAGTTGTTTGACTTCTGCACACTAAGTAAAAGCCATAATTAATTGTGCTAACAAAGAAAGGAGACAGAAATTTTATAATTTTTTAAAGTCCCTGGACTTGTAATTTTCAAGAGATACCTGTCATTAACTTTGTTCAATAAATGCAACTAAACTGACAAATTTTAAATTCCTTAAAAAGCTCCATTTCAAATTCTATTTTAGAAATTAAGTATTATTGCCTAATAACTAGAGATACACTTTCCAATGTTTGGCTTAGTTTCTGATTGATTTCAGTTTGGCATTGGTTCACAGTAATTTTCAAGTTTTGCTGCACCCCAGTTTTTCTGCCCCTAAGCATAAGTAAATGATTGGCATCGAGATACTTAACCACATATGGATGTTTTTTCTTTAAAGGAATTCAAGATAATTTTTTTATGAATTAAATAAAATTGTAATGCTAAAAACATTAAGCTCTGTTTTTCAGTTTAAAACTTTTATCATTTTCTTCTGTAAGTGTACATTCTTAATTGCTATTTTACTTATATAGCATTGTTATTTTAATTGTTATAAAATGTCTTACTGAACAATTGTAGAACATTTCTAAATATGTAGTCAAGTAAAGGAAACATTTAAATTTTTTAAATGTTCACTTATGTCTCTGTCTTGCCCTCACCTGTAGGAATACCAGGTGGCAATGATAGGGAGTCTTTAAATTACAACCAGTTTTCATTGTGTATGGTTGTTAAAATAGCCATTGAAATCGGTGTGCGTTGATTTATGATTTGATGGTGTTTTCATGATCTTCTTGATGCAGAGAAGGGTAGCACAGGCCCTTGTTAAGTGAGGTCTCAACCTGTTTCTTCTCACTTGGCTTCATGTCATAATAAATAGAAGAAGAAAAAAAGCTCAGGTTTCATAGACAGTGTTGTGGGTAAATTGAGTCTAAGTGCTTCAGAGTCATGAAACCAGACTGCGTGGTGTTAAAAAAAAATGCATGGCTAACACTTCTGTCAGTGGCTAAGCATGATGCAAACTCAAAATGTTTTCATAAGTTGTCACCAAAAAATCGCTAGTGGGTCACTTTACAGGATGATGGTGAAAGAGTATGAGTGCAAAAGCAATGCAAGAGAAAGCTCCTGAGGGCAGTTCTTTCCTTTAATGTTTTTGGAGGAAAGAGGTATCTATTTTTTAGTACTTCTAGATACACTGGAAAATAATTTATTTTAAACTCAGTGTTGTAGTTCCAAGGTACATGTAGTTCTTCTGTGGGGCCATGGGGCCGAATCATGCTAGATTCAGCAGGGAGGTTAACAAGCCGCGCTCTGTCCGGGTGCAGAGACACGTCTCCCTCAGCGCTGCCAGGCTCCTCACAGGAGTTACTGTACAGTTACTGCTGACAGATTTCTTAGTCAGACTTAGAGAAAGAAGGTGCCTTCTGGAATTGCTAGGGATGTAATTACTTCTGCTGGGAACATATAAAGTAATGCTATGCGATCTGTGAACATACTGTTTAAAATGTCAGGAAGGGATGGGTTTTTGCATGGGGCTTAACAAAACAACAGACTTGCACAGCTTTTCAGCTATGGTTCTAGAAAGCAAAATGTTAAAAATGGCATTGGGGTTGACTTTAACATTCTCCTTTATGTACAAGGTTTTAACATTTTGGACTGTTCCTACTGTGACGTTCCAGCTTACTCTGCACTTTCTTCTAACTGGACAGAAGTGTTGCTCTAAGTCTGTGATTTCAGTCGTGCTGGTTGTCGAAGCAAGTTTTTTCTAGTCATAACACTTGGGTTTATTGCCTCTCTTACCGCTGCATGAAGTATAGCCTTGTCCCTTGACGTCATAGTGGTAACAGATGGACCCCGTATCTGCTTTGCTAATGTTTACCCTCAGATTTCACATTATAGTTTATTTCTGGGATGTTTTGTCCTACATGTCAGAAGCAATTTTACAGCTTTACTCAATTGTGTTATTTAATTATATTACTATAAAATACAAAAAGTTAAAATTAGCCTGAGCAGATACATCACTGTTAGATTTTCTTGCACATAGAATTTTTTTCTGAGAACTGAAAACTTAAAAATTGATTCCAGACAATATTATAACAGGCACAATTTCTCTGTTTTAAGATTTTTTTATGTTCAAGAGTTTTTAAGTATTGGTGTGCCTAACATGAAGCATGGCCATATCAATAGTTAATAAATGTCCTTCAAATCTATTTTAAATAGGAAGACTAAATTTTACACTGATAGATTTTGGACTTTTGGTGCACTACTGACACTTTGAAACATTTTCTAATGATTTATTTAACTAATTTTTAAATTTCTGAAATGTCCATTCAGTTTAGCAGCCCTTTTTCTAAATGGGACTATTCCAGTGCAGCAGAGCTAAAACGGTTAATAATCCTAAGACTTTAACTTTTCACATGACACAGCACTGCGTCTCAGCAGAATCTGGTCACGTTCTTTTAAAAGTAGACTTCCGAGGCAGGGCACATCCACTCTGAATTTTAATTCTAATCAAACTATCACAGTAGTTAAGCTCACTTCTCATAAGGCAAAGGCAGAGTTTAGAAACCTTGTTTCTGTTATCAGTTTTCTGCTCTGTGGACTCCCTCCTGCCCTCATTTCATTTTGTCTGAATGGACAAATGAGGAAGCACATTATCTTTTGAAAGACAATAACTCAACTTCTTCCAGTTCTTTTTCTTTCATTCACTTTTTTCTCTGCACTTAATTTTTTATCTCCTTGATCAACAAATTCTTATTTCTTTTCTCTGCAGCAAAATACATGTATTTAATAGTTACAAACTGACAGGTGTCATTTCCTTCATACATTAACCTATTTAAAACAGGATAATGAATCAGAGTGGTTAAATGACTTGATTTTATTACATTTCTGGAATTGTACTTATTTTTATAACATTTAAAGTAAGAATGATACCAAGTTTAACTTAAAAGTATTAATAATCTGAAAACATATTCACTTCAGAAATGAACGTGTGTGTATACGTGTTGGCAAGTGTGTTTTTATCAAATTGATCTCGGAAAGAGAGGGCAGCATTATCTTCCAGCCTGTGACCTCAGTTTTGACCTCAATCCTGCAGTGTCCCCAGTGGGACCTTCCATTTCTATGGGACATAGTCTGCAAACTGCCAGTTGTGAGAGAATCCTCCTAATTAAAAATCATTAGAATTAAATCTTGCTGATACATTGTCTTCCTGTGTATGATTTTCTCACCTTTCTGTATTTTTGTTAAATGGAAAAGTTTAAGTAAAACTGCAGGTGCCTTCTCCTTATTAATGTTGGACTTCATACCACTTCCACCATCTGGACATGGGGGTCCTCACCTAGAAATAAAGATAAAGGTCCCAGAAGTACCTATTTAGGAAAACATCTTTGCAGAGGAAAAGATAGTAATCTTACATTCAACTCATGTAAATGTGTGATCTACATTTTGCAGTGTTTATTAATGGTTATATGAAATTATTTCAGTCAAGGCTTCTCCCTTCATCTGCTAGGTGTTTTTCACTTCACAGGACCCGCTTGGCACTGTTGTCACGTTCTTGATGGCATAAGACCTCTCTAGAATGCTCTTATCAGACAATGTTATGGAAAACAGGCTCTGAGAATATTGGCAAACGGTAGCCAAAAACCTTGTCTTTGCACCTAACATTTACAAAGGCCTCGGCCCTCATGTCGCTGTTATCACCACAGTGTTTATTATGTTCATGTACTATTTGAGACCCTGTTTAGTGAGCGGGTGACTTTCATAAGAAAGATTTTAAAAGAACAATCTAGATGGGGAGACTTTCAGTTTGAAGTGTCCCCACACATTTCATAATTAAATACGTAACTAATTAAGTCAAGTTTCAAAAAGTTGGCCCTAGTTTCCAGAATGGAAACAAAGTTACAGTTAAAGAATTAGGTATTGTTTTCCTTGTTTCTCACTCTAGGAAGTTGTGAATCAGAAACCAACTTTGAAAACTGGCGCTAGCCTCTCCTTTTCTTTTCTTCAAGCAGATTTTCTGACATAAATATTTCAGTCATCACAGAGAGCAAAATACATTTGTTTAACTTGTTTGCCAGTAGAATTTTCACTTGACATTATAACAGAACCCCTTCATTTTATGTATCTATGATTCTGTGCTAAAAACATTAGCATAGAACAGACCTTAAAATTTTAGTTTTCTAAAAGTGCAGGAATGGAAAGCTCATTTTTAGGAAAAATCCAGTAACATTAAAAAAGCTAAACTTTTATAAAGGACAGTTTTCCTAAGAACTGCAGATTAATGCATGCAGTGTGAAACATGAACTGTTGAAACTTTTTGTGCCAATAAGATCGGGCATCGCCCTCTGAGATTCTGTGTATCCGACAGGGCAGTGTTTACTGTGCTTTTCATCAGGTGAATCTAAATAGCCTTACATATGTATGTTCTCTGTTATCTAAAATCAAAGTAAGTAGGAACTTATTTTACTTTTATTCATGTGATTGTTTTTCTATTTAAACAATCCCCAAGTTAGGTCAAGTCCCTAAAAGTATTATTTAAAGGCCACATTTCATAAGCTAGCTGTCATTCCTATGATAGTGTTTCTTGTTTAACTTAAACATTAATAATAATATTTGACTTATTTCAGATGCAGAAGTCGATGAATAATATAGCTAGAGAATTAAAAGAAGGTATGTCACCAACATTTCTGAATTAAATTTAGATATTGATTTCCGTACTATACTGTAAACAGAAAATGGCACTTCTTTCTATTGTTTGAATAACAGATACTATGTTAAAGTTTTTTCTTACACATATCTAATGAAAAATGTGAAAGCATAATTTCATTCATAATGATAAATATACTTATTCTTCATTTACTCATCATGATCCATTGCTTTAAAAAAAAACTTAAGAAGTCTGTGTTCTCTCTCTATTTCTGGCTGTCCCCTTCCTCTCCTGCTGTCCCCGTGGGCCTGTCACCTACACACAGGCCTGTTCTCAGAAAGCATGGAGGTCATCAGCTTCTCAAGTTTCTGGTAGTGACTGAGGCCAAAAACCCAGACTCAAGCAATCACAGTTCATGTAGCTGTCACCTGGTGGATGACAATTAAATTTCTTGTCATTCGCTTTGTCACTGGTTAAACTTTTTCCCTCAGGAAAAATTTCAAATTCCTTAGCTTGGGAGAAAAACACCCACATTGATTTGGCTCTTGCCAAAGTCTTCAGCCGTATCCCTTTACTCCCCTGCTCTGCCCCTTTGCTCCAGCGACTGGTCAGACTGCGTCCAGCTCCTCGGGTGCCCATCCTGCCTCTGCTCTTCGTGTTTGCTTCATGCCTCTCCCTCCCACACTTTCTCCTCCTCCTTCAGGTATCTGCTTACACATCATGGCCACCAAAGAGCAGACAGTATTGACACAAAGCTGGACATCCCTTCTGAGTGTTCCAACTGTGCCCTCTTTTATACCTGTCATGGCATTTATGTCTCTGTACCAAAATTGCCTGTTCATCTATTTTTCCAGTTTATGGTACAAGATCTTTCAGGGTGGACTGTCATCTTCAACTTGTGATTTCAGTGCTTGTCACAGTGCCTTAGCACATGGTTGCTGAGTAAATGAATGAAGAATAAGAAAACCAGGTGCTCTGATTCTTAGCCACAAGAGCAGTTAATTCAACGTGCAGCCCTGGGCAAAGTCTAGAGTAGTTATCTTGTATTTTGTGTTGTAATCTTATATAGATTTTTTCATTCTTTTTAAAACTTAGAAAAGTCTCAGCTTTTCTTAAAAAATAAACTGACATTTAGTTACCTATGAAGTATTTTAAGTAAAGAATCTAAATTTTCCTTTTCTTTCCAGCCAGTACTGAACTTCAATCAGTCCTACAGACTCTCATAGGCTCGATGGACGAGTGAAGTCTAAGTCAAGGTCTGGTTTCGAATGCACGTCAAGAATATGTGGACATTTTGAAGAAAGAGTGTGATCTACAAAACAAATAGTAAACATTTACCTGCTGGGCTGTTTGCCTCACATTTTAGTTGTTTCCCGTTAAGTAAGATACTGACTGTGTTTATTAAAGGAAAATACTTTTGTATCAGGTGTGCATGATTAAAATTTATGTAGTACTTTGAACCACGTTTCTCTGCATCTCATTGACTTTTAAGCAGATTTTGGGAATAAAACCCGGCACTTTGGAGTATTACATACTCAAACTGAGCCCGGATGCCAGCTGTTTAAACAACAGCCAACCACCCACCAAACTTGTCGTTGATTCTGAGCAGTGTTGATTTTTTGCATTTTCCAGCGTTAATCGCTGTCTATAGACCTAAAGATTTAGACAGACAGCGTTTGGATCTGCTGTGGTGTTTCAGTGTTCTGATGGATCACAACACTCGTTACAGTGCCATCAGGCTTCCTATATGTTACCTTAAACACTGATTCACAGATGTTTCCTCATGGAGAAACGAAATCTGCCTCAGGCATTTCATTTTCTCTATTTACTTACTTTTTGGAAACAGT